TGCGACTGGGGGAAAGAGTTATTTTTTAGGGGATGGGGAGCGTGAACACCCCTATATACATCACTGCCAACCGCGGTCAAAGGGACGATCTTGGTGTCACCAATTTAGGAAAATGGATGAGAGAAATCACTATCGTAATTTGATATTCTGAATATTTTAATAGTTATCTTTAACATATATTCTGACTTGCCTTGAAGGTAACATTACAGCGGAGTTCATTTGTATAGATCCAGGAATACAGTACATGCTACCTGTAGGGTGGTTATCGTTGATTTATCAAAATATAACAATTCGGTTATAGCCCTGTCAACAGAGGAAGTGCGAACATCAACTTGACCCGGGTTCGATTCCCGACGGCGTCCTCAAGGCAAATCGACCTACTGAATAGGCATCAACAAACCGTATTTGGCGATGTGACAGATAGGCCTACATTATTAGAACCGATATAGGTCAGAGTATGTAGAGTAAACACAAACACCTAGACGATTCATCAAATAAATGGGTTGTTAGCTTTTGAATTAATTACATTACACAAATTAGTTGGATTTTGAATCTGACAGGAAGTGATAATATCTAAGTGCACCTTGGGAAATATCATGTTTGACGGTTGTAGGCCTCTACCGTTCGTTCCGCTAAGCGCCGCCCTTGGATATTGTTACAAAGGTTTCTATATATTTCCCTATTAGATTTATTCAAATAAAAAGCTTTAGTTTTATGGGCCTCCTATTTACAAGCTCCCTAGAGTTTCTTTCAGGTCCATTTCATCATATCATTTGCATTTATTTTAATTTTCATATATTTATTATTATTATTATTATTATTATTATTATTATTATTATTATTATTATTATTATTATCTTATCCTTGCATTTGTTATTCGTTTTTATAGAATTTATTGATGATAAATAAAAGAATTTGATTGATTTGACTGACAGCGTAAACGTATGTAAACTTGTGTGTTTGTGGGACATGCGCGTATTCCAGGCCCTGTTCTGATTGGTCAGTTGTTCATGTTTAATTGACACTCCGAAACCGGGTTAAATCATAAACAGATGTATTGCATAAGAAACCAAAAAATACAAAGTTAGCTTAAAAACTGACCTTGTTTCGTCGAAATTTAAGAAATTAAATTATAGATGGGCAGATTTTCAACAGAGGTGAGAACAAAGAGCGGAGATACTGGACTGACCGTCTGTATTTTAACCGTTCTGTAAATAGTTAATATGTAATTTTACCTTCCTTCAGGAAATACGTGAGTAAGGGAATAATTAATCATGAACCGTCAGCCCTATAATTGAAAAAATTTACGCGTAATCACTAATTACAATTTTCAATTACCAAAGAAACCACGTTCGTATCGTGGGCTTGAAAGATAAATGCATCACAGGACTAATGCGCATGCCCTGAAGTAGTTTTCATCGTCTGCTCATGTGTTCAACGTAATAAGGGGTGATTCAATGTAACCGGAAATACTATATTTATAGCCCTACTTGTATCACTGATATAGTGCCGTTATATCACCTATGACGGCTGCGCCAACACAATCAACTTAAATGGTTGGCAGCACTGGCGTCATATACCGTACTAAAGCGATGGGCATTATATATAGGCCCCTATATATATGTATATATATATATATATATGTATATATATATATATATAAAATTAAAACGGAACAGTAGAGAAAATCCGATCAGAATGACAAAATAAACTAAGTATCCACTGGAAGGAATCCCAATATCTGCAGACGGATCCGTTTATATATATATATATAAATCATTTAATAAAGGTAAATACAGTGTTCGAATAAAGGACATGATGGTACATCGTGCAGCATAGCTCTCAGCGAATGTTGTCCTATAAATAAATAAATACATTGTGTAATAAAATTCCACCGACGGGATTCGAACCTACGACCTTTCGCTGTCAAGGCGAGCACATAACCATTAGGCCACAGAGACTTGAACAGAACAGATCCAAATAACCGTCAAGTAGGCCCTACATTGTATTACATATATATAACATATATAGGCCTATATATATTATGTATATAGGCCTACAAATATTTGATTAAATAAGCTATTAAATTACAATAATACACAAATCCATGACCTTTTAATAGAAAAGTTCCAAAATTGATTTTCTGCTAAATTAAGGTTCTATACACGAAAATAAGGATTTGTAATATGTTTCCGTTAATTTCAGTTTCTCAGTCTTATTTTTAATCAAAAGCTAATAACGTATCTGAATATACAAAGTAAACACTGCAGGTATTGATTTCCTTGAGATTTCTTGCTAGAAACAGACGATATATCTTTTAATATGTCTGGTAAGTCCAATTTATATAAATCTCTGATATTTACTGCAAAGATTTAGTACGTTGATTAGGAACGCGTGTTGAATGCTCTCATAATTTACAGCATTCTTCTGGTTAGTGACATTAATATACTCTTTCTTGAAATGCAAATAATCATAAACTCTCTACGACTGCATTAGGCGGCGAAGTGTTTCCTTATTCACTCAAAAATGAAGAATATTTAAATTACCTTGTAGCCGTCGATCTAAAGAATGCTAGTTGAACGCGCAAAATATCATGAATAATTAATCATTATAATAATTATAGTTGTAATGCAAATATTGATAATATAGACTTCACGAATAATAATTATGCTACATAATATTGGACATAATTTTTGTAATCATCATCATCATCATCATTCTTTTGTTGTTATCATTTAATTTTGTTATGTCATCGTCATTGTTATTATTATGTTTGATGACAAAAAATATAAAAATATCAGTTAAAATACCAATTGTGTTTACAAACATTATATTTGCTTTCACTATAAATATTTTTGGAATCGAGAATTGTTTAGCCCGTTTCAGGTGCGAACGTTATAGGGAAGGAAATGAATAAATTACCGTATGTTTCCACGTAGTGTGATATCGAATATGAGCAGAATCGTAAACGTTATGACCTTTAGTGTACAGTTCATATGGGAAGTATTAATTTTGATTTTCATGCCAAAAAGCAATCAATTGATAAGATATTTATAGCTGTTGTTAGTAATTATTATCGAGTCATCGCCAGATCAGTAAATGTGTCAAACAAACACCAAATCCCATATCACTTCAACTGTTTCGTAATGCATAGAATTCCACTTAAAGATGGCCGTTAGAGGAATCACTTCGGCTTAGAATAAAGTTCAAATGTTATCTCTTGAAGAATAATACTCTCCGAGGTAAAATCTAAAATAAACCCATGAAATATAACAAAATGTTGATTTGCTCTATTAACCGGATTAGCTTATAGATTTTTTTTTTATTACAGAAATCTTACATTAAAATAATGCAAGCAAACAGTTAATCGGCAAAGAAAGTTGTTTTTCTCACTCAAAGATTCAAGATATTCTTAGCTGAGTACATTTAACACTTTGCACAATTTTAATGGCATTGGATTGGCTGTGTATCGCGTTCTGCGTTTCGTGATATCCAATCTAAATCCGGTGCGCAACCAATCAGAGCTCAGGAACTGAGCCGACACCTTCCATTCGCGCGAATAAATTCGGCTAGTGGAAAACCGGCTTTAAGATGGAAAGCTCATTAACTTTTTCAAAAACCTTTCAATTATCAATGGAAGGATGAGTTTAATTAAAGCCCCATTCCCGGCAAAATTTCACTAAAATTTGATTTTTTTTTTTTTTTATAGAAAATATGCATTTGCATTACTCCAATTATTATAAATCATGGAAAAATATTGGCATGAATTTTAGGTTTACGCAAAAGAATAAAAAAAATGAGAAATACAGACTATTTCTCTTAAAATACTGTCTCATTTTCTCGACGAATTCATCGTTACTAGGCAAATTCAGAGGTTGTAGATCGCATCCACTGGAATACTCTCGCTTTTATGTATACTTTATACAGTCAATAAAGTGCGCCCTCTCTAATAAATTAGTTTTTGTACTTCGCATCTTGCACAATGCGGTCGTTCGATTAAGGCGGAGATATGTTTGTTTAAGTGTCAAAATCTCAGTCAGAATCAGTTTTTTAACAAATTTGAAATAATTCCTATGAAATATTATATTTTACAA